CAAAGAATACTGTTCGTTGTGAGTCTGAAAACCAGAAAAAGAATAATTTGATGATTCAACATGTTGAAGTCCCATTTTAATTTTTCAGTCAACAATTGCTAGAATATTTGTTAGACCAGTACTTAACAAAATGGATTTTTTTTTTTTTTTACATTTGTTAAATATGAGCATGAAGACTGTTTTTTAGGCCAGTTCTCTTTGGTGTATATATTAGAATGTTACGAGATTCTATATAAAGGTTGTCAAAGGCTATTGATCAAAAAATTGGAACTAACCCTTCCCTTCCTTGGACTGATTAGTATTTCCCATTTTCCAGGCACAGTATAACCCCTGCAGGCATTGAAAAATAAAATATCATTAGGGTAAGTGAGGAAACTGAAGAAATTACCTGTACAGCAACTTGATAATCACAGGAGGTTAAAGGAACCTTATCAAGGAAGTTGACTGTGCTTTATCATCATTGGACTATTATAATTATAGGGAAGCACTAAACCTGTAATGTACTGCACCTGGGGAATAAAAGATAGTCAGCTTTGATTCAAGGGAAGGGAAGGGCAGCTTCAATTCTTGAGATTAGGAGCCCTTAACCAGTATGTAGGTACTTCCATACCCCTTTAAGAGGATCATTATAAAAAGCTGAAGGCACTTATTATGGGAAGTTAGAGATCTTGATCACTTGGTCACTTAAACAACAGCGTGCATTGTTTGCCTTGTACCTGTACTTTAATCATGGCCTCATGCTTTATTAACATTACATTTAGTGATAAAGTGCAAGATTTATATTATTTAGTTGGTTTCTCCTGAGCATGAAATCAAAGACAATGGCCTAACAGAAAAAAATACTAGTAAGGACAAACAAACAGAAGGTTTAGAACACGTCATATTATCCTAATGCACAATGCTGCATAACACGAGTTATCTGTTTATCTCTTACTTAGAAAAATTTCTAATTGTCAGAATATGTCATAGTGTATAGGGTTCAGTAATACCTGCAGTTCCAAAATGCAAATTATCCTGGAAAAATGTCATTTTACATTAATATTAAAACAACATTTGTACAGTAGGAACAAAGAAAATTTACTTCTGATGCCAGTGTATTATATAATGCTCAAGTGTATAAATTATACTTCATATAATAAATTAATTGTAAGTGGTCACAGTAAAACAAACTTTTTATAAAACGAGTTTAATGCATCTTAACATATGCACGTTTAATCTTAACTGGATCGACTGGCCGATCATTGTTATCCGTTTCTACAAGACCCATTCTCTTCACCACCTGCATCCCAGACGAGACACGACCTGCAGCCCCAAGAAATATAGCATTATAAAAGATATTTTGTCAGATATATAAATTACAAATTTAAATTTCATGATTCTAAGCATATATGTGTTTGGTTTGAGCCCTTCTGTAATGAATTATTTGAACTATACATGTATATGATCCAAGGTGATTCCAGTGTGTAGTACAGTACATTCTTTCAACAAATACGTATCTTCAGTGTACTTTATATCTCTGAGGCATTATTCCATCTGGGAAGTGTACTTTCTTTGACTCCCCTATAAGATGCTTTATATGTTAAAATGTTTTGAAAGAGCACTGAAAATGAATGCTAAAGAATTCTACACGCTGGACTCCCTAACTTCAACACAAGGCACTTACTGTTCAGTAGTACTGTACATATATACAATGAAAAGTGTGCTTTTTTTTTTTATTTTTTCAACAAGTCGGCCGTCTCCCACCGAGGCAGGGTGACCCAAAAAAAAAAAGAAAATCTCCAAAAAGAAAATACTTTCATCATTCAACACTTTCACCACACTCACACATTATCACTGTTTTTGCAGAGGTGCTCAGAATACAACAGTTTAGAAGCATATACGTATAAAGATACATAACATATCCCTCCAAACTGCCAATATCCCAAACCCCTCCTTTAAAGTGCAGGCACTGTACTTCCCATTTCCAGGACTCAAGTCCGACTATATGAAAATAACCGGTTGCCCTGAATCCCTTCACTAAATATTACCCTGCTCACACTCCAACAGATCGTCAGGTCTCAAGTACCATTCGTCTCCATTCACTCCTATCTAATACGCTCACGCACGCTTGCTGGAAGTCCAAGCCCCTCAGCCCACAAAACCTCCTTTACCCCCTCTATCCAACCCTTTTGAGGACGACCCCTACCCCGCCTTCCATCCCCTATAGATTTATATGCTTTCCATGTCATTCTACTTCGATCCATTCTCTCTAAATGACCAAACCACCTCAACAACCCCTCTTCTGCCCTCTGACTAATACTTTTATTAACTCCACACCTTTTCCTAATTTCCACACTCCGAATTTTCTGCATAATATTTACACCACACATTGCCCTTAGACAGGACATCTCCACTGCCTCCAACCGTCTCCTCCCTGCTGCATTTACCACCCAAGCTTCACATCCATATAAGAGTGTTGGTACTACTATACTTTCATACATTCCCTTCTTTGCCTCCAGAGATAACGTTTTTTGACTCCACATATACCTCAACGCACCAAGAAGTGTACATCTTAAGTGTACATATAGTTAATTCCAAGTTTAGGGATTAAACTATTCTTGATATCAGTGTAAATATAAACTGCAACTTTCATGACCCACATGCAGTCAACAGGCTTCAAACCTAACAAACTAATGTAAGTACAGTATATACTGCACAACTTACTTTAATCTACTACCAGTTCCTTAAACAAAAGAATGGGTGGTATGAATGATTTTTTTTTTTAAGTACACATGCACAACTAAGAAATTAGGAGGAAAACAAAACAGGAAAAGCCTGAGGCACTAGTAATGATAAACAGGACAATGAGTAGGAAATAAATATGAACTGAAAAGGAAATGTTGTGCTAAGAATGACTCGTACTACCAACAATGGAGGATGAAGTTTCTTCTTGTTACTACATATTTAGGGCTCTTGATTCCAGGATTTGGCCTGGTGGCTGAAGCTCTCACTTCACATGGCGAGGGGTTCGGGTTTGATTCCCGGCGAGGGTAGAAATATTGGTCGTGTTTCTTTACACCAGTTGCCTATGTTCCCAATCAGTAAAATGGGTACCTGAGAGCTAGTCGACTAGTGTCGGTTGCATCCTGGGACAAAACTGACCTAATTTGCCTGAAATGCTCTGCATAACAAGCTGCTTTCTATATACATGTAATAGTATGTCATTGATGTCAGCTAGGCCTGTACACCTTGTACATGTACTTGTAGAATTTTTTTTTTTTTTAACAAGTCAGCCGTCTCCCACTGAGGCAGGGTGACCCAAAAAGAAAGAAAATCCCCAAAAAGGAAAATACTTTCATCATTCAACACTTTCACCTAACTCACACATAATCACTGTTTTTGCAGAGGTGCTCAGAATACAACAGTTTAGAAGCATATAAGTACGTATAAAGATACACAACATATCCCTCCAAACTGCCAATATCCCAAACCCCTCCTTTAAAATGCAGGCATTGTATTTCCCATTTCCAGGACTCAAGTCCGGCTATATAACAACAACCGGTGTCCCTGAATCCCTTCACTAAATATTACCCTGCTCACACTCCAATAGCTCGTCAGGTCCCAAATACCATTCGTCTCCATTCACTCCTATCTAACACACACACACACACACACACGCTTGCTGGAAGTCCAAGCCCCTCACCCACAAAACCTCCTTTACCCCCTCCCTCCTACCTTTTCGAGGACGACCCCTACCCTGCCTTCCTTTCCCTACAGATTTATATGCTCTCCATGTCATTCTGCTTTCATCCATTCTCTCTAAATAACCAAACCACCTCAACAACCTCTCTTCAGCCCTCTGACTAATACTTTTATTAACTCCACTCCACCTGATTTTCACACTCCGAATTTTCTGCATAATATTTACACCACACATTGCCCTCAGACAGGACATAACTGCCTCCAACCGTCTCCTCGCTGCAGCATTTACAACGCAAGCTTCACACCCATATAAGAGTGTTGGTACCACTACACTTTCATACATTCCCTTCTTTGCCTCCATAGATAATGTTTTTTTGTCTCCACATATACCTCAACACACCACTCACCTTTTTTTCTTCATCAACTCTATGATTAACCTCATCCTTCATAAATCCATCCACTGACACATCAACTCCCAAATGTCTGAAAACATTCACTTCTTCCATACTCCTCCTCTCCAATTTGATATCCAATTTATCTTTATCTAAATCATTTGATACCCTCATCACCTTACTATTTCCTATGTTCACTTTCAACTTTCTACCTTTACACACTCTCCCAAACTCGTCCACTAACCATTGCAATTTTTCTTTAGAATCTCCCATAAGCACAGTATCATCAGCAAAAAGTAACTCTGTCAATTCGCATTTTGTATTTGATTCCCCATAACTGAATCCCACCCCTCTCCTGAACCCCCTAGCAATTACTTCTTTTACAACCCCATCTATAAATATATTAAACAACCATGGTGACATTACACATCCCTGTCTAAGACCTACTTTTACTGGGAAGTATTCGCCCTCTCTTCTACACACCCTAACCTGAGCCTCACTATCCTCAAAAACTCTTTACAGCATTTAGTAACTTACTGCCTATTCTATATACATGTACTTGCAACATCTGCCACATTTTCATTTACCCCTGGCACCCCAAATTTACCTACTACTCCCTCCACAACATTTTTACCTACTTTAACGCTGTATAACCCTTGTGGCTTAGCGCTTTTTTTTATTATAATAATAATTACCTACTTTAGGATTGAAATCCCCAACCACAAGTAGTCTCACACTTGATTCAAAACTCCCCACGCATTCACTCAACATTTCCCAAAATCTCTCTCTCTCCTCTATATTATTATTATTATTATTATCTACCCTACCCTTCCTATGATAAAAAATAATTACCCCCCTCTTATTTTCCAGCACTGTTTGACCCTTATAGGTTGAGCATTTTCCATGAATGTAACAATCTCATTCTCAGACTATATAACTTTTTCCATTAATATATTATTAACACTACCTAAATATACTTTATGAAGATTTTTTTATGTTACTTACCAAATATGGCATGCTTGCCATCAAGCCACTGAGTGGGAGCAAGGGTGATAAAGAACTGTGAACCGTTAGTGTTTGGTCCTGCATTGGCCATGGACAATAAACCAGCCCCAGTGTGCTTTAGTTCATCATGAATCTCATCATTGAAGTGCTTCCCATATATTGATGCACCTCCTCGCCCAGTGCCAGTTGGATCCCCACCTGTGGACATGATTTTCAAACATCCTTTAATATTTATTTATTTTCATATTCATTCACTCTTCCTCAATCTTTTGGTGTGGTGTGAATATTATGCAGAGAATTCAGAACTTAAATATTAGAAGAAGGGCTGGGATAACCAAAAGTATAATTCAGAGGTGATTGTTCAAGTGATTTGGACATTTAGAGAGGTGGAACAAAACAGGAGGCCTAAGAGGGTATATAAATCAAAAGTGTAGATGAGAAAAATAGGATATACGTAGAAAAGGTTGGAGGAATGAGGTAAAGGAAGTTTTGAGTGGTAGGGGCTTGAACAGTCAATAGGGTTGTGCAAATGCAAAAGATTAGAGCTAGTGGAAGAAACTTTTTTATGGCTTGACATTCTGTTGGAATGCAAGCAAGGTAATGTTTTTGAAGGGATTCAAGGAGACCAGTTAGACGAGAGGTACTATCCATTGCTTGCACTCTGAAGGAGGGGTGTGGATGTGTTCAAAGAGCCATCTGAACTGTGATATTAGCACATTTCTCACAAGACAGTGATTGAATGAATGATGGTGAATGCATTCCTGCTTTTTTTCTCTTAGCTCACCCTACTTTGGTGGAAGACAGTTGGTGTGTTAAAAACAATAATAATATACACTTCTGGAAAGGCAGCTATTGACAGTGATTTTTTTTTTTTTTTTGGTCATGTGCAGTGCTGTATAGCCCTTATGGTTTAGCACTTCTTTTTGATTATAATAATAATAATAATTTTGGGTCATGCTGCCTCACTGAGAATGAACCAGTGTACAAATAATATCTCGGTACCTTCAAAAAATACACAACTGCATAGACAAAGTATTGCACATTTATATACATCATGTAAATTATCAAATACTAAATGAAATTTATAAATAAATTTATGTGAAAACCTTTTCTCAAAAAATTTTAATACCTTGTATCATAAAGTCTCTGATAATGCGATGGAATTTGCAACCATTGTAATACCCACGACGTGACAGCTCTGCAAAGTTCCGACAAGTGTTTGGGGCATGTTTCCAATACAACTCTAGAGTTACCTCACCCATCCTGAAAAATTATGAATATTAAACTTAAGATACATTTTTGAAAGAATATTAGTGTACTGTAAAGAGAAACTAAGTGTTCTCTTGTTCTATATGTAGCTACTGTACATATTATTATTATTATTATAATAATCAAGGGGGAAGCGCTAAACCCGGAGGATTATACAGCGCCTGGGGAGGGGATGTGGAAGGCATTCAGGCTTAATTCAGGGAACTGGTGCACAGATCCAATTCCCTAAATCAAGAGCCCCTCACCAACATCAAGGAACCTTCCTTGAGGGGCTACTGTACATAATAATTTAAAAAAATTAAATTAAAAAATAATTAAAATATACAGTACATAATTAGGCACATTTTGTCTAAATTAATGCTCTTAAAACATTTTAACCTTTGTGGGTTTAGCACTTAGTTATGAATAATAATAATTTATATATTTTATAATATAATTGTTGTTCAGAAACTAAGTAAAAGCAGGGGTGCCACTAGCATGATAAGAAACAACACAGTGTCAGGGGCCCCAAGACTGTTCAAATGATTTCCAGCATACATAAGGGGGATTACAAACAGACCCCTTGCTGTCTTCAAGAAGGCGCTGGACAGGCACCTAAAGTCAGTACTTGACCAGCCGGTCTGTGATTTGTACGTTGGGTTGCATGCAGTCCACAGCAACATGAGGCCTTGTCACAGACTGGGTCGCAGGGCATTGACCCCTGAAACCCTCTCCAGGTATCTTTATCTAAGGATAGATACACCGGCTTCAAATCTTGATTTTTGGTTTCATTACAAAACAGAAAATTTAATAATAATATAATTTATTATTACTATTATTATATTTAGAAACCAGATGTTAATGTTATATATAATTTGTTTGTATGTTGATTACACTATATTGTATACAATTTACATGCAGCTATATATTTTATAAACAGTGCATAAGTTAATGCAATGTGTGAATCTGTTAAAAAGAAAACTACAAGTACTGTATTACAGATTAGTAATCTTAAAAGTCTGAGGTCCTTTGGTCGTCTTTCCCAGGATACTCGTCCCCCTCCAGGTATCCCACTTACAACAGTTAAGTAGATACCTACTTAATTCTTGGTAAACAGGGGCAACAGTTTACCTGGAGAGAGTTCCGGGGGTCAATGCCCCCGCGGCCTGGTCTGTGACCAGGCCTCATGGTGGATCAGAGCCTGATCAACCAGGCTGTTACTGCTGGCTGCACGCAATCCAACGTACGAGCCACAGCCCGGCTGGTCAGGTACCAACTTTAGGTGCTTGTCCAGTGCCAGCTTGAAGACTGCCAGGGGTCTGTTGGTAATCCTCCTTATGTATGCTGGGAGGCAGTTGAACAGTCTCGGACCCCTGACACTTACTGTATGGTCTCTTAACGTGCTAGTGACACCCCTGCTTTTCATTGGGGGGATGGTGCATCGTCTGCCGAGTCTTTTGCTTTCGTAGTGAGTGATTTTCGTGTGCAAGTTCGGTACTAGCCCCTCTAGGATTTTCCAGGTGTATATAATCATGTATCTCTCCCGCCTGCGTCCCAGGGAATACAGGTTTAGGAACTTCAAGCGCTCCCAGTAACTGAGTTGTTTTATCTCTGTTATGCGCGCCGTGAAGGTTCTCTGTACATTTTCTAGGTCAGCAATTTCACTTGCCTTGAAAGGTGCTGTTAGTGTGCAGCAATATTTCAGCCTAGATAGAACAAGCGACCTGAAGAATGTCATTATGGGCTTGGCATCCCTAGTTTTGAAGGATCTCATTATCCATCCTGTCATTTTTCTAGCAGATGCGATTGATACAATGTTATGGTTCTTGAAGGTAGGTGTGTGTGTGTGTGTGTGTGTGTGTGTGTGTGTGTGTGTGTGTGTGTGTGTGTGTGTGTGTGTGTGTGTGTGTGTGTGTGTGTGTGTGTGTGTGTGTGTGTGTGTGTGTGTGTGTGTGTGTGTGTGTGTGTGTGTGTGTGTGTGTGTGTGTGTGTGGTGTGTGTGACTCAACAATCAATATTTGCACCAATAACTCATTACAGTTGTGACCGGGTGTGGAAGTGTGAATTGCTCATTACTCTATAATTTGTTCATGATTGTAGCCAAAGTATAAACGTAAGTAACCATTCTACAGAATTCATTACCTTTGTAACTTGTGAGCTCATTACCTTTGTACCTAGTTCAGCTATCAAAACTTTGGGGGCCCAGTCCCTGGACCCATTACGTACCTCTGTAATCTGTAAATACCTTTGTAACTTGTCATGATTGTGACCAGACTTACCTGGAGTTCATTACCTTTGTAAATTGTGAGTTCATTACCTTTGTAAATTGTGAGTTCATTACCTTTGTAAATTGTGAGTTCATTACCTCTGTAACTTGCTCAGCTATCAAAACTTTGGAGTCCAGTCCCTGGACCAATTATGTACCTCTGTAATCTTTTGACTACCGCCCACAGGATGGGTATGGGGTGCATAATAAACATATTAAACTAAAAAACTAACTTGAAGGTGAGATCCTCCGACATGATCACTCCCAGGTCTTTGACGTTAGTTTTTCGCTCTATTTTGTGGCTGGAATTTGTTTTGTACTCTGATGAAGTTTTAATTTCCTCACGTTTACCATATCGGAGTAATTGAAATTTCTCATCGTTGAACTTCATATTGTTTTCTGCAGCCCACTGAAAGATTTGGTTGATGTCCGCCTGGAGCCTTGCAGTGTCTGCAAGGGAAGACACTGTCATGCAGATTCGGATTACGACTGCAAAGGAAGACATGGTGCTGTGGCTGACATCCTTGTTTATGTCAGATATGAGGATGAGAAACAAGATGGGAGTGAGTACTGTGGCTTGTGGAACAGAGCTTTTCACCGTAGCTGCCTCAGTTGTTAGAGTTACTCAATCATCCTCTTCTATCAGAATTAAATATGGTCTTTCAGTTGTCAGCCAACAACTCTCTCTCTGAGCTAAGAGGAACTTATTATTACCTTTTCTAGGCCCCCCTCACAGACATTTCAAATCTCTAGTCAAGCCTTTCACACAGGTTGGCGATCATGAACATGTAAGACACCGAACTATGCTTCTTCCTCATTCACCTTGCTTCCAGCCTGAGGCTTAGATATTGTCTGTCTATTTTCATCTACCTCATTGTCTACCTGGTGTTAGTCAACCCACACCAGTCGACTAACACCCAGGTACCTATTTTATTGACAGGAGAACAGGGGATCGAAATTATATCTTTATTTGGAAGTCCTAAATCCGTAGGGGGTCATACAGCATCTGGAGGGATGGAAGGCATTCAGACTCGATTCAAGGAATTAAAACACAGGTCCAATTCCTTAGATCAAAGAGCCCATCACCAGCATCAAGAAACCTCCTTCTCAATGTTTAATGGATATACTCACGAGGTTTCCAAGACAACATAAGGAGGCTGCCATGACTTGTCTGGTATAGACATTTCCTCCTAATAGACCCAGAATTATTATTGTTATGATGATGCGCAAACGAGCGCTAAACCTATATGAGTCAAAAATAGCACAACAATGTTTGAAATGTTTTGTTGTTGTGGTTGTTAAGGGTCACTTAAGTTTGCACCTTCCTGAGCCCAGCTTCCCGGGAGTCCGTGAAAAAGATATTACTTAAATATGGGAGGGAATTGTAAGGGATAAGATAAGAGAGAGAGAGAGATAAGAAACAATGTTTCCTCCAGAAGGAGACTCAGGAACACTAAGTTCCTAATTAGGTCAGGTGGATCATCAAGGATAGACACAGGCAGAGCCAGGCAGCCACAAACCTCCAATTGTCCAGATCACTGAAGATGAATAATAATAATAATAATAATAATAATAATAATAAAATATTAATAAAAAACTCTATTTTACTAAAAGGGAAATTTTTTAACAGGGTTTATGGAAATCCCAAGCCAGCTGACATCAGGGGCTACTACTACTACTATTAACTGCTTGTTAAGCAGACCAAAAAAAAAAAATTCCGGGAAAATTGGGTTCAATTTTTTTCCGGGATGCGACCCACACCATCGACAACACCCGGGTCCCCCTTTTTTAAATTTAAAGGGGTTAAACAAGGACAACCAGTGAAAGGAAACACGCCCAATAATCCATCCCCCCCCCCCGGGAAAAAACCCCAGCCCTTTCAGCGTGTAAGCGAGATTTTTGAAAAAACCGGGCCCCACGGGCCCCCATTTTAATTTATTTTATTTTTTTATTTTAAAATTTGAGCACACATACAGGGGTTACAAAAAAATACAGAAAAAGGGGCACATCCCCAAAGCCATTTAAATACTATGCAAAGCATTAGGGGGCTGGTTTAAAAAATTAATTTAAAATTAACTAACAATGATAAAATCAGTGATAAAACTTTAATGTATTACAAAGACGGGCCAAAAGGTTTTTTATCCCATTGTTGCCCATTTCGGGTAAATGGGGAATTTTTTGGGAAAGTGAATTTAAAAAATAATAAAGTTAGGGGGGTTTTGGGGTTTAACTTTTATGTGATAAATTTTGTGAGAAACATTTAAAATACAATTTAAAAAGGTTTCTTTTATTCAGTATTTTTTTTGGTTTTGGGTGGGGAAGGGAAGTTCAAGAGCTTAATTTTAAAAAATTGTTTTGGGAAAAGGGGGGGTTTGTACCATAAAATTTCTACAATTGCTAACAAACGGTTCTTTTTATTTTCAAAAAAAATTTCCCAAATTTATGACATTCATAAAGTGCAAACCCTATTTTTTTTTTCAACACACTGGCCGATTCCCCCCAAGGCAGGTGGCCCGAAAAAAAAAAAAAAAAAAAATTTTTTTACCCCAAAAAAAAAATTTTCATTTTTCCCCCACCCCAACCCTTTTTTTGGGCCAAAAGGGGTGCTTTACACTAAAATTTTTAAAACTGCAACTTTTAAAACCCCCCTTCAATGCGGGAAATTTGTACTTCCCCATTTTTCCGGGATCAACCCGGGCCTCCCGGGTTTTCCCTAAACCCCCTTCAAAAAAGTGACTTTGCCCCAAACTAAAACCCCAGCACGTCAAGTTTTAAAAAACCCAAATTTGTCTCCATTCACTCCTATCAAACACGCCAGGGCATACCGCTGGAAGTCCAACCCCCCTCCACAAAAAAACCCCTTTTCCCCCCCCCTCCCCCAACCCCTTTTCCCAAAGGGCCCCACCCTACCCCCCCCTTTCCTTTTTCCCCTACAGAAATGAAACACTCCCTTTAAGTCATTCTTTTCCCCCCATTCTCTCTACATTCCGAACCACCCCAAAAACCCCCTTCCCAGCCCTCTGGGGCAACAGTTTTGGGGAATCCCCACCTTTCCCCTTTAAATTCCAAACTACGAATTCCTGCATTATATTTACACCCCACATTGCCCTCAGACAGACATCTCCACTGCCCTCCAGCCTTTTCCTCGCAAACAACATTCCCCCATGCTTCACACCCCCTATAAGACGTTGGGAAAACCAAAACTCTCATTACATTCCCCCCTTTGCCTCCAAGGACAAAGTTCTTTGTCTCCCCCAACTCCAAGGGGCACCACTCACTTTTTTTTTTCCTCATCAATTTTAAAGATTCACCTCATCTTTCTTTGACCCACCGCTGACACGTCCACTCCCAAATATTTTGAAAAAATTCACCCTCCTCCATACTCTCTCCCTTTCTGATTTCATCTTCCCACTATCTTTATACTTAATCTTACCCTTATGCACCTTCTTTTAGTTTATAAACCTTCACCTTTCTTCCTGATGCTTCTATTCTCCTTCCTCTACCTTTTACCTAGTGTTCACAAAGAATGTGATCTGATATTTGTGTGCCCCTATAACTGTCCTCTGAAGTCTACCTCAACAGTCTTTTTCTACCATAATAATCCAACAAACACGGTTTCGCCCACATCATTCTGGTATACTTTTTCTTTTTTTTAAATTTTTACCTTAACAAACCCCTTTCTAAAAAGTTCAATCAAGGGCTCCATTATCATTTCCACCTGGCCACCCCAAACTTACTACACAGCCCTCTTAAATTTCCACTTTAGCATTAAGTCCCCTACCACAATTACTCTCTCACTTGGTTCAAAGGCTCTATCATTCACTAAATCTCCCAAAATCTCTCTCTCTCTCTGATTCCTCTCTTTCCGGTGCATAACGTTATTAGACCCATTTCGATCAACCTTTACTTTAATCCAATAATTCTTGATTTACAACACTTTCACTCTTTCTCCTTCCATAACTGATCATTACATTACTTACCTTCCTTTCTCTAACTCTCTCATATCAGATTTAATCTTATCCCCCTTAATCTATCCCTAAATTTTCCCCTCATTTTATCCTTCTTTTTATACAAAGGAACTTAGATGCTATCTGCAACCCTAGGTACCTTACCTCTTCCATACTTTATTTAAATAATTGCACCAACAACTCCAAAACATATCCATCCACTCTTTTAACATTCTATCTTTATCCCATCAATCCTGGCTGCCTTACCCCCTTTCATTTTACCTACTGCCTCACGAACTTCCCCCACACTCACAACTGGCTCTTCCTCACTCCTACAAGATGTTATTCCTCCTTGCCCTATACACGAAATCACAGCTTCCCTATCTTCATCAACATTTAACAATTCCTCAAAATATTCCCTCCATCTTCCCAATACCTCTAACTCTCCATTTAATAACTCTCCTCTCCTATATTATTATTATAATCATGGGGGAGCGCTAAACCCGTGAGATTATATAGCGCCTGTGGGGGGGGGGGAGAGATGGAAGGCATTCAGGCTCAATTCAGGGAACGAACGCAGATCCGATTCCCTAGATCAAGAGCCCCTCACCAACGTCAAGGAACCTCCCTTGAGGGGCATAGTAGTCATACATTATTATAATTATTAGTGGAAAGAGCTAAACCCACTGTTATTATTATAATCAAAACTAAGCGCTAAACCCACCAGAGTTATAGAGCGCTGGGTAAACCTGCTAGTAGTAAAGCACCTTAGGAATGAGCAAGACTATCTAAAGAAAGGGAAGTTACCTTTGAAAAGTTTTGAGTCTACTCCTGGAACTTGGCCATGGGCCAGGCTCATCTGGCCCCATGGCCTGTCTGGCAAAGCTCTTGCTTCACATGCTGAAGGTCCAGGTTCGATTCCCAGCAGGGTGGAAACATTTCGATGCATTTCCTTACACTTGTTGTCCTGGTTACCTAGCAAGTAGGTACCTGGGTCTTACTTGACTGGTTGGTCGCATCCTGGGGGACAAGATTGAGGACTCCAATGATAATCAGACAGACAGTTTCTTGATGACACACTACCCTTTTTGGGTTATCCTAGTGACCCTAACATCGGGCTAAAATTCTATAACAAAATCATATCTAGCCTGTTCAACAGGCTGTTTATACATTCCTTAAGCTAGAGGCCCTTACCAGCTGCATGGAACCTCCCTTGAGGGTAAGGGTCATACAGTTCCGAAGGAATGGGATGCAATCCAAGAATGGGAAGGGCAACTGCAATTCCTTTGATCAAGAGCTCTATAAGCATCAAGGCAACCCCAAACCCCCAGTTAAAAGGGTTACTCATTGTGCCACTCAATAGTTTTTTTTTACAATTAAGGGTGACTTAATAACTATTTTATAATAACCTATACCTATATTTAGCATTTACTCCAAGAAGAAAGTTTTTGGTCAGCCCATTCAGTTTACACCCAAAGGACAGAGTCAAATGAACACATCTCTAATACATATCATTCCTGTTCACCTGCAGTAGATAGGTACAGTACCCGGGTGTTCGACTGTTGAAAGTTGCATCATGCGAAAAGGATCAAATTATTTTATAAGGGAAACTAAATCGTAGGGGTCATCCCCTGCCTGGGAAAAAGTGGCAGTTTGGTTCAAAGAAAAGGGTGCCTTGCCAGTGCCACGTTACCCCCATGACCATTAAAGGGTATTGTAGCAGCCATGGGATCCATAGTTTGTTCCATATAAGTTGTTGGGAGACAATCAGGTTCAGTCCAAGGAAGGGAGGACAAATCCAATTCCTCAGATCAAGAGTCCCTCACCAGCATTGGGACAGGTGTTCATGTCAAGCGTACATGACCCATGTTAATAAGTTCTTGATATGCACAAGAAAAGACTAGCAGATTGATTCAGGGTCACAATTATCAGACATGCCATGCATATTAAAATATTTGTGGGGAAGAGCTAAATCCATCATGGGTCTACAAAACCCATAGGATTATACAGTGCATGGGGTGGATGGAAGGTATTCAGACTCAATTCAGGGAACCAGAGCACAGATCCAATTCCCTAGATCAAGAGCCCCTCACCAGCATCAAGGAACTTCCCCTGAGGGGCATGGGCCTACAGCACCTACGAAACGGGAGATAATCAGATTTGATCACAGTGAAGGGTAGCTCCAATTCTTTGGATTAAGAGCCTTTCAATGACATCAAAGTACCCCCTGAAGGAGTCATTTTGTACTATGTACATCAAAATTGCAACTGCAGTTCCTCAACCATGAAAAGATATGACCGCAGAACGTTCACTTGATGGAGCTGGAGAAGCTAAGCCAGTGACTGAGAATATTAATTCATTAACCCTAACGGAAGGCATCAGTACTGTACTGTCTTAACCCTTATGTGCCTCTGTGCTGCCACAGATGCACATACCAAGAGATTCGAGGAAGCCATCAAAGGAATTGGCCTTAAGTACAAAATACCGGGTTCTAGTCCCTGGACCCATTATGTGCCTCTGTAATCTTTGACTACTGCTCACAAGACGAGCATGTGGGTGCAAAATAAAGTTACTGAACTAAACAGTGAAAAACAGTCAATAGGTTAAAAAATATTTGAGATACATCACAGTTGGTTTAATCTTTATTATTATTAACATACATTTTAAATGAAAATTAAAAGTAATTATAATTAAGGAGAGCATATACTCTCCACTTTGCAGTTACCTAATACATTACATACCACTCCCTATCACAACCATCCAGTTGTATTCATATGCATTTTGATATGTGGTTGTGTCTGATAACTTTGATGGCACATTAGTGTGTGCTTGTATGTCACCATTCACTAAAGTGAGTCATATGACTTACTTGCTCTTTCAGAACATATGATGTTAGGGTTTGTTGCGGCCCCCTGCCAAACTAGCGGTTAAATAGTTAACCTGCCGGCCGGCAGTACCACTGGGTGCGTCATCAAACCCAATGTGGGGGCTGCTGAGCCGGCCTTAGAGCAGTAAGAGCCTGAGTGCCTCACGGTACACACCTAAGCAGTAGGTACCTGACCACCGAAGGGTACAAGTCTACTGGCTTTAGTAACAGTATGTACCAGAGCGCCTCGCTGTACACACCTAAGCAGTAGGTACCTGACCACCGAAGGGTACACGTCTACTGGCTTCAACATTAAGTACCTGAACTCCTCAGGGTACACGTCTATGCAGTAGGTACCTGACCACCGAATCGTACCTATCTACTGGCGTTAGAAGAACCGCTCACCGCAGCTCACTGAGTCTGTTGGCCTCAGTTACTTGACGGCCGCATTCAGTGAGCTTGCAGCATGGTGTTCGGCTAGCGGTGTGTCAACCGCCTTTGGAGGGATTTACTGGACTACCGGTGATGTCTGTGGACTCACCGTCTACGTTGATCAACTGTGGGCCGGAGTCGTCAGATGCTGTTTAGTGGGACATTACATGAAGAAAAGGTTGGAGTGTTACACTGAAACTGGGCCAGGACCGTAGTGTGACACTGAGGGACGTACGATGGAGTGGAACACTGAGATATGCACAGGACCGTAGTGGAACACTGAGATGAAAAGGGTGTCGTGGGACACTGAAGATGGCCTGGTTGTAGTGTACACTGAACAGTGTCGTGTGACTGACTTCGTGTCGTGAGAGCAGTTGATTGTAATTTATTATTATAAAAATGTTATTTATAAATTTATTGTTTTAGCATAGAGATATATATATATAGTGACAGTAGTGTCAAGAGTTGTACCCTGTGTAGGGTTATTAATTATATTTTAGTAAAATGCTGATTATAATTTATTATAGTAACATGTACATATTATTATTATATCATAGTTCAAATACCTCTAGACCAAAGATAGTTGATTTTTATATATTAAAGATTAATTTATTAATGTGTGTATTTATGTATCCCGAACTCTTTATTACAAAAGAAGTAAATCTTGCCATCTCCTTTTAAAAAATTACTTTTTTGTAATAGGGTTTAATTACAAAGAGGAAGTGCTAGTGCTAGAACACTCATGGACATTTTTTGGCTAACATATTAGTATTTTTCCCATAGAACTTTCTTATAATACGGTATACTACTGCATACCACAGATCTTTTGAGTATTTACATTGCTGACCCTTTCAGAAGCCAAGTAAAAATTTAAATATAAACAGTGAAATTATAATGTAAATAGGCTCCAAACTACATAATGAAGTGACCAAATATATTAAGAGACCAACTGGTGATGTACAGTATTCACTGTACAGGAAGACAGGGATGGGATGGGGGTAGGGGCTATGCAGGATTCTGCTGACTAAAAATCACTGAGGTTTAACTAATCATCAAGACTGAAGTCACTGTCATCATCTTGTGGTATGGAGGAATCCTTGATGCCAGGAGGGACAAGTATCTTGTCCATAAGCATGCCATGTCTAGAGGAGGGAGGAGGAAATATTAAGAATAACTAAATAGAATAATTAGTAGTGTTTTATGCACTTTCACCTATTTTAAGACTAAAACAACTACCTACTTTTTGTACAGAAAAAAAAGGACATTTAACAACAACAAGGCAGAATATTTAGCGAGTCACACAGTCTAATCAGAATGGTGAAATAATCCACCTATAAGATAAAAGTGGGAATGAATTAGATTCATAGGTTTAACCCTTTCAGGGTCCCCAGGCCCTCTCCCAGACTTATGAAAAGATAGAGAATCTTTTCCCGATCATAATGACACTAAAAGTATGAAATTTGATGGAAAACTTACGGAGTTATGCTCTCGCTAAGCGGTCTTGACGATGTTTACGCATCGGTGATTTTGTCCACTTTGAGCCCCATTTTCGGCCAATTCCAGTGTACTAGTCGACAAAAATCCTAACTTTTTGCTAGAACTCCATTTTTTCTATCGAATGAGTACAAGAAACCAACCATTTATTGATTTCAGCTATCTAATACAGTGGTCAGAATTTAGCAATTTTGCCAATTTCACACAAATTTCAAAAGATGCCAATTTCAAAATAGGGTCCAGAATAAACAAGAAAGACATTCCTGGCACTAAAATAACATTTCCTCTGTTCATTAGTCACGTCCCAATGCCCCTCTTACACTCTTCTCCTTTCCACTTAGAATTTTTATTCTCACAAAAAATAGAAGATTTACTGTTATGCAGACTACTGCATTAGTGTAGAAATGGTATAAATAATATCGGCGCACTTGTGAAAGAATATTAGACTCACCAGTTGACGTGGATTGGACGCTTAGCATGATTTGTTTACTTTTGAACTTTGGTAAAAATCGAACATTTCTGCTACTTTGAGCTCAATTTCAAGGTACTTTTCATTGTAAAACCAGTCAAAATCATATCAATTTCTGCAATGTCTTCCATTCTATAAAATGAGACCAGGAAAACTAGAATACAACAATAAATACCATACGAAAATACAGTGCAAATTCGCTGTTTTAATCCAAAAACCTGGTCAAAGTTTTTTTTTCTCATTACGCACTGTGTGCTGCAGGATTTTTTTTATACTGCGCACACTGACCACATAGACCCATTCTTTCATATGTAGGCCTACCAGGTTTCTCTCACTAGATTTGAGGGCGCTAGAATTTAGGCGTACTAGTACGTCAAAAACTCTGGTGCGTAAGCCGTACTAGTACGTCTGAAACCCTGAAAGAGTTAATGGCAATAAATGCCATGTGACTAATGTGAACTTACATTTTTTTTGTATATATATGCATAATTATTCCTCATTTTAGGTAAAAAAGAAAATGTAAAAAAATCAGTCATCAAAAATATGTATAATTTCAATGCAATACTTACTCAATCAGGAATGACTCTACATCTGTGGCATAGAAGTCATCTCCAAACTCATCTGTTAGTCTCACAAAGTTGCCGATCATCTGGCCTCCTTTGTAAATGAGGAGAGCTGGCAAACCTGTTACTTTCTATAGAAGAAAAATGTACATTTACCAGGGATTTTTATATTTTACAAAGTAACCATTGTATATAAGTCCAAAATTATTTTTGTTACTACAAATTCCATAGCAAATGATATACATGTACTTGTAACTCATTTTCAATATTGTCAATTTTCATAGCCAGGCTACACTACCATACTTTCTGAAGTTGTATTTAAAAAATGTTGCAAATTTTTGCAACATAAATATACATACATCTAAACAAGTTCATTTACTCCTCAATTCCAAGTTATATAAGCCATACAATATTTTTATCAACTTAAGTTTGCAAATTTCAGATACCAAAATCCTTCAATAAACTATGCAGATAAAAACAGAATGATTCAAACTTACAAAATGACTGCTAACACCTGCTGCACAAGCTGGCAATTTACAGAACTTAACATGAGGGTATTCCTGTGCCAAACACGTCAAGCAGCCATTCATTGCATCACATCCCATAGCATCCTGAATCAAATACATCATTCAGAATCAACCCTAGGGTATTACAACATATTCAATACATTATATTGTGATTTCATCATTTTAAGAATTGTTTTATGCTGTACTGTACACAGCCTTATCTAGATAGGAAATCAAACAATATAAATTTTGTGTGCTAACTAATACTGAAAATAGTGATCTGTCATCATTCACTAAATCTGCTTTCCAATTTTAAGCAGATACAAAAATCAAACTAGCAGATGCACTCCGATGCTGGGATAAAATATAGTGATGAAATGGTAACTAGGGAAAGAGTATGCAAAAAAAAACTGAGTTTCGTTCTGAGATACAGTAGCAATAAGCTCAGTAGACATATTGGTGCTGTTAAAAAATACCTGAAATTTATGAATGAGACCAGCTAACACAAATACAATATAAGGAAAGGCTCATGTTCAGAATAGGGAAGTGACCAGTGGTAGCCCAAAGGAGAACTTCAAACCATCCCCCCAAATTCCCTCAATCTCTCTAAAACCCCAGTGTGATAAAAAAATAATAACACTGCTTCAAAACAAAGTCTCCTAGCTCCTCATATCAACCAGGTAACCACCCCTAAACCCCCCATTATAGAAATTCTGGTGCAGCCCTTTGAAGTGATATAATGCAATAATGCGTATAATAGAATCTGGAAAAATTAAGTGCTAAACCCTCTCTGAAGGTAGAAAACCAATTAACTTTTTTCAACCACACCAGGACCTCTGTGAGATTAACCCTATTATTCAACCTGTACCGTCCTGCCAAGTGAGTGTAAAACGAAATCCTGTAATTGTTTTACATGATGGTAGGATTGCTGGTGTCCTTTTTTCTGTTTCATAAACATGCAAGATTTCAGGTACGTCTTGCTACTTCTACTTACACTTAGGTCACACTACACATACATGTGCAAGCATATATATATACATACCCCTCTGGGTTTTCTTCTATTTTCTTTCTAGTTCTTGTTCTTGTCTATTTCCTATTATCTCCATGGGGAAGTGGATCAGAATTCTTCCTCCGTAAGCCATGCGTGTTGTAAGAGTCGACTAAAATGCCAGGAGCAAGGTGCTAGTAACCCCTTCTTCTGTATATATTACTAAATGTAAAAGGAGAAACTTTTGTTTTTCCTTTTGGGCCACCCCGCCTCGGTGGGATATGGCCGGTGTGTTGAAAGAAAGAAGATTCAACCTGTAGTTTTTGAGAATCCACTGATATGCTTTCTCTACACAAGGCTATTTTTCTGCTCTTTATTTTTTTTTTTTTAACAAGTCGGCCGTCTCCCACCAAGGCAGGGTGACCCAAAAAGAAAGAAAATCCCAAAAAAGAAAATACTTTCATCATCATTCAACTCTTTCACCTCACTCACACATAATCATTGTTTTTGCAGTAGTGCTCAGAACACAACAGCTTAGAAGCATATATGTATAAAGATACACAACATATCCCTCCAAACTGCCAATATCCCGAACCCCTCCTTTAGAGTGCAGGCACTGTACTTCCCATTTCCAGGACTCAAGTCTGGCTATATAAAAATAACCGGTTTCCCTGAATCCCTTCACTAAATATTACCCTGCTCACACTCCAACAGATCAAGTCCCAAATACCATTCGTCTCCATTCACTCCTATTGAACACGCTCACGCACGCCTGCTGGAAGTCCAAGCCCCTCGCCCACAAAACCTCCCTTACCCCTTCCTTCCAATCTTTTTGAGAACGACCCCTACCCCGCCTTCCTTCCCCTACAGATTTAAATGCTCTCCATGTCATTCTACTTTGATCCATTCTCTCTAAATGACCAAACCACCTCAACAACCCCTCTTCAGCCCTCTAATACTTTTGTTACCTCCACACCTTCTCCTAATTTCCACACTCCGAATTTTCTGCATAATATTTACACCACACACTGCCCTTAGACAGGACATCTCCACTGCCTCCAACCGCCTCCTCGCTGCTGCATTCACAACCCAAGCTTCACACCCATATAAAAGTGTTGGTACTACTATACTTTCATACATTCCCTTCTTTGCCTCCATAGATAACGTATTTTTGTCTCCACATATACCTCATATACCCATTCAAAATGGGAATTGACACAGTTACTTTTTGCTGATGATACTGTGCTTATGGGAGATTCTAAAGAAAAATTACAAAGGTTAGTGGATGAGTTTGGGAATGTGTGTAAAGGTAGAAAGTTGAAAGTGAACATAGAAAAGAGTAAGGTGATGAGGGTGTCAAATGACTTAGATAAAGAAAAATTGGATATCAAATTGGGGAGGAGGAGTATGGAAGAAGTGAATGTTTTCAGATACTTGGGAGTTGACGTGTCAGCGGATGGATTTATGAAGGATGAGGTTAATCATAGAATTGATGAGGGAAAAAGGTGATGGTGCGTTGAGGTATATGTGGAGTCAAAAAATGTTATCTATGGAGGCAAAGAAGGGAATGTATGAAAGTATAGTAGTACCAACACTCTTATATGGGTGTGAAGCTTGGGTGGTAAATGCAGCAGCGAGGAGAGGTTGGAGGCAGTGGAGATGTCCTGTTTAAGGGCAAGTGTGGTGTAAATATTATGCAGAAAATTCGGAGTGTGGAAATTAGGAAAAGGTGTGGAGTTAATAAAAGTATTAGTCAGAGGGCAGAAGAGGGGTTGTTGAGGTGGTTTGGTCATTTAGAGAGAATGGATCAAAGTAGAATGACATGGAAAGCATATAAATCTATAGGGGAAGGAAGGCGGGGTAGGGGTCGTCCTCGAAAGGGTTGGAGAGAGGGGGTAAAGGAGGTTTTGTGGGCAAGGGCTTGGACTTCCAGCAAGCGTGCGTGAGCGTGTTAGATAGGAGTGAATGGAGACGAATGGTACTTGGGACCTGACGATCTGTTGGAGTGTGAGCAGGGTAATATTTAGTGAAGGGATTCAGGGAAACCGGTTATTTTCATATAGTCGGACTTGAGTCCTGGAAATGGGAAGTACAATGCCTGCACTTTAAAGGAGGGTTTGGGATATTGGCAGTTTGGAGGGATATGTTGTGTATCTTTATATGTGTATGCTTCTAAACTGTTGTATTCTGAGCACCTCTGCAAAAACAGTGATAATGTGCGAGTGTGGTGAAAGTGTTGAATGATGATGAAAGTATTTTCTTTTTGGGGTTTTCTTTCTTTTTTGGGTCACCCTGCCTCGGTGGGAGACGGCCGACTTGTTGAAAAAAAAAAAAAAAAATATACCTCAACGCACCACTCACCTTTTTTCCCTCATTAATCCTATGATTAACCTCATCCTTCATAAATCCAACCGCCGACACGTCAACTCCCAACTATCTGAAAACATTCACTTCTTCCATACTCCTCCTCCGTCTCTCCCACATATTTACAATACCTATTGAGATAATGTCATAGTGGACAATTCCTTTATGAACAGACAAGTGGTAACTTGTTTAATTTAGAAAGACCCAAATAATTATGTGAAATTTTTTGACAAATGTTTCAGTTGCCATTTAAAGTATGTAAACATTATATGACAATTTACATGCTAAACACAGGTTTTACATGTACATGAAGCCATCTCATCAAAGAAATTCATGAAGATACCAGAACATCATAGATTTAGATACAGATAAAAGACAATTCTGCACCAATTCAGCCTGAAGTACTGTCAGAGATGCTGTATCAGCACCGAGTGTCACATAAAATATATTATGCGACAGACTTACTCCCAAGCTCTGCAGACTTTTTTTTTTTTTAAATACACTGGCTGTCTCCCACCAAGGCAGGGTGACCCAAAAAAGAAACACTTTCACCATCATTCACACTATTACTGTCTTGCCAGAGGTGTGGAGATATGGACTTACCTGGTCATAGATATGTACAATGACAGTGACTCCTGCATCTTCTTTATCAATGGCATCCAAAAACATTTCTCCATTATCCAGTGTAATTAAACGACCAAACTGTGCTCTGATAAAACAGTAAAATTTTATTTAATGTAAATCTTGGATTGAATCATGTTAAATATTTACAGGACTCTTAAGATCATAATTACCTAGATAGCTACATTTATAAATTCTTTTATGAAAACCAAGAGACAGAAATAGAGATGACAGCTCTGATTATCATCTGTTTTGTTGCCATGTTAGAAGTTATAAAGTGTAGGCATTGTACTTCTCACCTCCAGGACTCAAGTCCAGCTAACCAGTTTCCCTAAATCCCTTCACAAAATATTATGTTGCTCACACTCCAACAGCTCATCAAGTCCAAAGTAAGTTATACTGTTATAACAGATTTCTGAGATCAGCTTTATACGTATATGGGCAATACACACCATGGGTACAGTTTCCTTAAAATGTGAAAAATCCTGCAGCCTTACTTGTTTGATGTGGTAACAATCATTTCCTCCATCCGCTTTGAGATGTACTGCAGCAGAAATTCTTCATCTAATAGATCAACATCTTCCTCCTCCTTTCTCTCATTTTCTTTATCTTTCTCATCATCAAGCTGACCAGTAAAAGAAAACAAAACCTAATATTACTAGGGGGACCTTGCATAATAGAACTGAATATCTGTTTTAAGCTGAAATGGGTTTCATGTGCAATTCAGTCATCAGTAAATGTGAGTATAGTAGCCAGTGTTGAAAATTAACTTCAGAAACAGATATGTACATGCACAAATAACCCGCTTACGGTGACATTTCAGTCCGACTTGGGTCATTCATCAGAGTGACTTGTAAATGATCCAAGTTGCACCGAAATGTCATTTTAAGCTTCACTCTCTCCTATGTGCAGGTTATTTGTGTATTGTTCCAGTCACACTATTGTGCCTTTGTTTTTCTTTTGGATATGTACATGTTAGGGTAACTAGTCCTCCAATTTAACTGAGTAGTGTGCAGTTTGCAACTACAGTGGACCCCCGCATAACGATTACCTCCGAATGCGACCAATTATGTAAGTGTAATTATGTAAGTGCGTTTGTACGTGTATGTTTGGGGGTCTGAAATGGACTAATCTACTTCACAATATTCCTTATGGGAACAAATTCAGTCAGTACTGGCACCTGAACATACTTCTGGAGTGAAAAAATATCATTAACCGGGGGTCCACTGTATTATATTTAAGCAATGGCAGAGTCTTCATTACCAGATATAAATGTCCATTTATGTAATTTCTACTAACAGTTTCTTCAGCATGCCTTCTGGCACTGAGAAGTCATTTTTTTTTTTTCAGCATATAAGTCATCTCCCACTGAGGCAGGGTGACATAAAAAAAAAAAAAAGGGAACACTTTCACCATCATTCAACATTTTCATCATCATTCACACATAATTACTGTCTTTGCAAAGGCACTCAGATACGACAGTTCAGACGTCACTCCAAACAGCAAATATCCCAAACTCCTCCTTTAAAGTGCAGGCACTGTACTTCGCACCTCCAGAACTCAAGTCCAGCTAACCGGTTTCCCTAAATCCCTTCACAAAATATTATCCCACTCACACTCCAACAGCTCATCAAGTCCTAAAAACCATTCATCTACATTCACTCCTATCTAGCACACTCACACATGCATGATGTATGTCCATGCCCCTTGCACACAAAACCTCCTTTGCCCCCGCCCTCCATCCTTTCCTAGAATGACCCCTACCCCTGCCTCCCCTCTACTACAGATTTATACACCCTGCAAGTCATCCTAGTTTGCTCCTTCCTCTCCAAATGACCAAACTGCCTCAACAAACCTTCCTCAGCCCACTGAATAATACTTTTAGTAACTCCACACCTTGTAATTTGTACAGTACAAATTCTCTGCATAATATTTACACCACACATTACTCTTAGACACGACAACTCCACTGCCTCCAGCCGCCTCCTTAGTGATTCTGATGCATTTAAATCTGCAAGTGTAATAAAACAAATATTTCTAGAACGATAAACTTTATAACAAATTATAGTCTTACATGTGATCTGCAGGTGAAAGCAAGTTTCTTTGCGAGTAGAATACGTTCTTGTTCCTGCTCCATTCTTTTTTCTGATTCCAGCTGCTTGAATCGCTGCCAGTCCTTCAGTACCCCTTTTGGTCCAGTCTGCAGTTAATAATTCATTCGTATTACTAATCACACTTATTGAGAAAACTACAATCTGGGACCCAGTCATATCAGAAATATGTGACATCATGTTAGGCATAGAAGGAAATGAGAAACAAGAATCTATGTACAAACGAATTTTTAAAGTTTAAAAATAATCTGGCCTCTTCAACAGATGAAGAGGGTCTCTGACTGAAGCCAAAACATACAGATCTCTTTTTACCTGTGTTTCAATTTTCTCTCTATGTGATTTCTCACTTTTTCATCACTCAGTGTTTATGACACTTAATCCAAGCATTGTTAAATGCAAAAGCCTTACTCCATTCACAGTGATGAGCCAAAATTAACTGCATTAACTGAATTGAGAAGTATTCTCATAAAGTGAATGGGATGAAATTTTTATAAAGCTGAAAGAGCTGAAAAACTGAATATCTTCTAAGACTAAATAAAATTCCTTTTTTTTTGGATGCAATCAATTATTAGGAATTACATATAGTATGTAAAGGTTTCAAAGAGAATGGATATACCTAAGACTGAGATTTGAGATAACTTTCAAAGTATGAGATTCAGCAAGAGATGCAGGAAAAAGAGTCAATGCCAAAATATAAAGAACAGTGCAAAATGAAGTAATGAGCATAAGTGTGGATGACAGTGGATGTACCATCCTCTGAAGAAAATCAATAATAAATACACAATTAAAAAAAAAAAAGAGTAAATAACAGAGCATATTTTTTGACATATCCTTTCACAAATATATTTCACACTTGCATTGGCAGATGCTCCTTCCCAGCCTCTTATCTCAGACTGTGGGGAAGGCAAATCAGCTTCCTTCCCGGGGCTTGAGTCCTCATTCCTCTCATCATCATCGTCATCGTCATCACCATCTTCATCCTCAGAGCTACTGCAATAATACTGCAACTTCTCACCTAACAGGCGGTCCTCTAAGGTTGCCATGGTTACCAGGAGGAATTAGTCTGCAAAATGCATAATAATAATCTAAGTTGTTCTTAATCTTGGCAGTTCACTAATATATGTACTGAATATGACTTATGATTACATGGAGTATTTATAAATTATAAGCGAGTCTTCTGGGAAAGGAAGCTTTAACTTATAAAATTACAAATATATATAAATTATATATATATATATATATATATATATATATAATATATATATATATATATATTAATATATAAATTTTTATATATATATATATATAATAATATTATATATAAATATATATAATATATATATATATATATATATATACACAGAGGTACTAGAATTACAGCACAAATTATTAATTAGCAAGGAATTTCATCAGTGGTTTCACTTAGCAAGCAAAATATTGACAATTTCCCTGTCCCAATTGTCAAACATTAAATAGGTAACCTAAGTGCCAACTGTGAAATACACTGGATTCTATAATAAAAGATACCTGGAGTTTACCTGGAGAGAGTTCCGGGGGTCAACGCCCCCGCGGCCCGGTCTGTGACCAGGCCTCCTGGTGGATCAGAGCCTGATCAACCAGGCTGTTACTGCTGGCTGCACGCAAACCAACGTACGACCCACAGCCCGGCTGATCAGGAACCGACTTTAGGTGCTTGTCCAGTGCCAGCTTGAAGACTGCCAGGGGTCTGTTGGTAATCCCCCTTATGTATGCTGGGAGGCAGTTGAACAGTCTCGGGCCCCTGACACTTATTGTATGGTCTCTTAACGTGCTAGTGACACCCCTGCTTTTCATTGGGGGGATGTTGCATCGTCTGCCAAGTCTTTTGCTTTCGTAGTGAGTGATTTTCGTGTGCAAGTTCGGTACTAGTCCCTCTAGGATTTTCTAGGTGTATATAATCATGTATCTCTCCCGCCTGCGTTCCAGGGAATACAGGTTCAGGAACCTCAAGCGCTCCCAGTAATTGAGGTGTTTTATCTCCGTTATGCGCGCCGTGAAGGTTCTCTGTACATTTTCTAGGTCAGCAATTTCACCTGCCTTGAAAGGTGCTGTTAGTGTGCAGCAATATTCCAGCCTAGATAGAACAAGTGACCTGAAGAGTGTCATCATGGGCTTGGCATCCCTCGTTTTGAAGGTTCTCATTATCCATCCTGTCATTTTTCTAGCAGATGCGACAGAATGTAGTTGTGTTGACAGTAGTTTTCTAGTCACTTTTAAGACTAACTTCCTCGTGTCTTACAGAAAGTCGGCTTCATCTTAGATGTTACTTTACCATTTCATCACTATCCCTTTCAAACATGTTAAGGTTAAAGCTTGTTAAAGTAAAAAAAAAATTATGCTCTTAGAAATACATAAAAAGCATCAGCTGGGCAATAATGTTATCAATAGTATGCCATAACAGTACTGGTGTAAAACCAGGTCTTCCTGAAATAGGGAGTGATTGTGTGATTTAGGCTAATGAAGGAACTCGACACGGCATTTTAAGTTTTTTGAGCCTCTCAACATTTGTAACAATATCCATGAGACCTACCAATGTTGTTAAATTAGACACATGTGCAACTCTTGGGTATCTTTACTGAGGAAACGTTTCGCCACACAGTGGCTTCATCAGTCCATACAAAGGATAAACTTGATAAATAACAAAAAAGGCACAATACCGTGACTGGAACGATACACAAATAACCCGCACATAAAAGAGAGAAGCTTACGACGACGTTTCGGTCCGACTTGGCCATTGACAAAGTCAATGGTCCAAGTCGGACCGAAACGTCGTCGTAAGCTTCTCTCTTTTATGTGCGGGTTATTTGTGTATAAACTTGATAAACTCCTGTTCTTCAAGTTTATCCTTTGTATGGACTGATGAAGCTACTGTGTGGTGAAAAGTTTCCTCAATAAAGATACCCAAGAGTTGCACATGTGTCTAATTTAACAACATGTCGGTTCTTTGAACCATTCATCTACAGACCTACCAATGTTGAATTAATACAAGTTTTTACACAAGTTTTATATCACAACAATGCCCCCAAAAATTCTGTGATTTATTTCTATTGGGGGTAAGATTTTGGTCTAACCATATAAAATACCATATAAAGCAAGTTTGCAGCACAGTGCAGTGCACCCAAAACTATTATATTTTATTATTTTACTTAAGGAGCCATACCAAGACTAGAGAATAAAAAAAAAAGCAAGCAAAATTTATACAATAATTTTTACATGATGGAAAATTTCAACAAGCTCAATTATAGTGTTCCAACTTAACTTCCCTTAGAACATATATAGGATCAAATACCACATAAAAAATTACATATACTGTACAAATAAGTAGTACAATAATTTTGGAGCCTAATATATCAAGCAGTCACAAAAAAAAAAAACACCATGAATGAAAAAGTTATTCTAACAAAACCAGGATACAATTTAAATGCTTTTAAGGATTCTTCTTCTTCTTCTTATTATTATTATTATTATTATTATTATTATTATTATTATTATTGTTGTTGAAGAACAAGTGATAAATACAACTGGGATGTACAGTTTTTCAAAATTATACATATCCTAGGTTAAGCTCTTTTAATATATAACAGTTTCTTCATTGGGGTGCTTTGATGCTGGATCAAACTTAATTAACAATTATTCTGCAGGCACTATATGACCCATACAGATTTAGCACATCCCTGTGAATGCATAACTAAATTTGTTTAAAAAAATTAGTGCTGATTCAACTCTGGGATTACATCTCAGTTATACAAATTTGAAAATACCCTTGTTACAAAGTACTACTGTACAGTAGTTTTCACTATAGTAATAATCATGCACCTGTATCTATATATAATCATTTGTTACTATTAAAGAGGAGGTTATTATTATATTCATGGGAAAGCACTGAACCCACTTACTTACTTACTTACTTACTTACTTACAGGGGTCATACAGCACGTCAGGAATGGTGGGGGGGGGGGTCAAATTCTATCTAAGCAAAAGATGGATAGCTCCAATTTCTTTGATCAAAAGCCTTTCACTAGCATTAGAGCACCTCTCTGGTAGGGGAGAATAGGTTATCATGTCTGATCTCAGTAAGTTTATTTAGACACAGGTACACATAAGTACGCGGTGGCCCGGTGGCCTGGTGGCTAAAGCTCCCGATTCACACACGGAGGGCCCGGGTTCGATTCCCGGCGGGTGGAAACATTTCGACACGTTTCCTTACACATATTGTCCTGTTCACCTAGCAGCAAATAGGTACCTGGGTGTTAGTCGACTGGTGTGGGTCGCATCCTGGGGGACAAGATTAAGGACCCCAATGGAAATAAGTTAGACAGTCCTCGATGACGCACTGACTTTCTTGGGTTATCCTGGGTGGCTAACCCTCCGGGGTTAAAAATCCGAACGAAATCTTATCTTATCTTATCTTATCTTACAACTACTATCATACATGTGTAAATTACCTCGGATAACCCAAAAAGTCAGTGACTTATTTCCACTGGGGTAGAGCTGATCAAATTCCTCGCACCAAGAGCCCTGTACTAACTACAAAGCACACCCCTGAACAGACTTTCCCATTGAAAGTAATTATTTAAAACAAGAGTTTGCAAAACATCTGTAAATTTAACTAAAAACCTTAATTTCTTGTTATTATTGTTACAGTTAAGGGTCACCACAACCTAAGCAGTAACGAGTCCTTCATTATCTTATCTCTCAAGAATCAAGGAGAAAAATTATACTTTGTATTACAATTAGTGATGCCCAAGACAGCAGAGAGCCCACATGCACACTACCATGGCCAGGGTAGCAGTTCCCTACCTGTAGCTGGATGGTGGTAATGTTCTGTTACAGCTTATTGATTTGTTGAGTAGCAACAGCAGCAGACACAACACAGGCAGCTGCCGGAAATACTGGGCCGCGTTGTGGTTTATTAAACAGGTTTACTAAATGAAGCCGCTAGTTGACTTTCTACTGGGATTCTTCCTTTTCATGATGACTATTTCCACTGGATTCTTTCTCTGAGATGACTATTTTCACGGGTCCTTCAAAAGGATGACTATTTCCGCTGGGGTAATTCCCAAGGATGACTATTTCAACTGGGATCCTTTGCTAAGATGACTGTTTCCATATGGGTTCTTTCCTAAGATGACTATATCCACAGGGATCCTTCCCAAAATTGCCTATTTCCACTAGGATCCTTCCCATTATTATTATTATTAATATAATCAAAAAGAAGCGCTAAGCCAAAAGGAGGATCCTTCCCAAAGTTGACTGTTTTCACTGGGGTTCTTCTGTAGGGACTGTTTCCACTTAGATCTTTTCGCTTGCATAACAATTTCCATAAGGATCCTTCCATAGGTTGTAAAGTAAAAGGACACAAGTGCAACTAATGTGACATTTTATTGTGGCAACGTTTCGCTCTCCAGGAGCTTTGTCAAGCCGTAACGGCTTGACAGAGTTCCTGGAGAGCGAAACGTTGCCACAATAAAATGTCACATTAGTTGCACTTGTGTCCTTTTACTTTACATATTGTCGGTAATTCTACCAACTTTATTACTTCCATATGTAGATTTTCTACTGGGGTACTACCCTAGAATGACTGTTTTTACTGGGTTCCTTCCCTAGGAGGAGTGTCTACTGGAGCCTTTTCCCAGGATGAGACTAATTCCACTTTGGTTCTCTCCGAGGATGGTTGTTTTCTTTGGGTCCTTCCAAAGGATGACTGTTTCTACGGGCGTCCTTGCAAAGGATGACTGTTTCTACGGGCGTCCTTGCAAAGGATGACTGTTTCTACGGGCGTCCTTGCAAAGGATGGCTGTTTCCACTGGGGTCCTTGAAAATGAAAAAGTTTATTTCCCTGTCAAGCTTACAATGTGTGGTTTACATGTTATAAAATATTAATTGCAAGAAAGGCCACTAGCATGCCTAAGCATTTCGGGCAGACTAATACTAGTTCTTACTCTATATTAATATAGGTTATGGAGCAGTACATTTTAACATACATTAGATACATTATCAGATAGAATGTTTCCTCTGTGGCCCTTCCTAAGGATGACTTTTCACTGGGGTCCTTCATTAAGATTGTTTTTGTCACTAGGACCATCCACAATGAAAAATGTTCCCACTTAGGATGACTTTTTTTTTCACCAGGGCCCTTTCTTAGGGTGACTGTTTCAACTGAGGTCCTTTCCTAGTTTGACGATCCCCACTGGGGTCTTCCCTACAATGACTTTCCACTGTCATTTCCTAAGATGACTGTTGCCGTAAGAACATAGGAAAGGAGCATTGCTGTAGGTCTACAGGCCCATGCTAGGCAGGCTCATCTCACACTCATTTATGTACCTGTTCAACCTATGTATAAAACTACCCAGAGTCCTTGTCTCAGTGACGTCTCTTGGGAGTTTACTCAACTTATCTACACCTCCTAAATCTTTCGCATGCAGTTTGATTGAGATCTAGTTTATAGGTGGCATAGTTATTTTATTTTTTCCAGGAATAGAACCTTACATCTGTCTACATTAATTGTAGTGTTCTTGTGGAAAATTCCATTTATTTGAATGTAACTAATTATGTACATAACAGTAAATGATAACAAAGATAATTATTATTTATCAGAGTTACATCGACAAGTATGAATTTGGGACACCTAGGTCACAAAAATGTCCCCCTTCGATACCTACCACTGTCATATCCACAAGTTGCTCTGGACCTATTAATTAAATGAAATATACATACACCAGGAATACTGGTAAATATATAAGTTTGTGGACTGTATATTAAAAATAATAAATGGTTATATATATACACAATTACATAACAGAAGGAAAATATATCTTAATATCACTCACCAATTTGGCTGGAGATTAATGTGTATCATACTCAGAAAACCTCACTCTAAATCTATGAAAATAATGCTGGCCAGAATTGCACACAAATCTAGAGAGCTTATCTGAGGTTCCTGGAGAGGTCTTGTCCAGTCGCCTGATATCTCAAGTTATGCAGGAATGCATATCCACCAATTTCGCCTCCTATTTGAGAGGTGTCAGCACAATTTTAACCTCTAGAGCACGAAAAATTCTTCCCCATTCACCAACGTTTCTAATACAAATTCAAAAACCAAGATGGCGAGTGTCTCTACTTTTTTTCGATAACATACTTCTTTTTAAAAATACAATATAGGGCATCTATTTACCTATAAATTACCGTATTTCCGGAAAATATATACAGTATTTTCCACAGTTCTCATCAGAATTTATTTGACGGCCTATTTTAGTGTCACCGGCAAACTAATTTCGTTATTTATTCCCCTCATCTATGTCCTTCATGTATATTGTCAACAATAATGGGCCCAATACTTACCTTTGAGGAACTCCTCTGGTAACGTGTTCCCATTCTGATTCTCCTTATTTACACTGAAGTCCTGCTTTAGAATGACTGTCCACTAGGGTCCTTCCCTGGGATTCTGTTTTCAAATGAATCCTCACACAGAATGACTCCAATGGACTCCTCCCCTAGGATAACTATTTGTCTACTTGAGTTTTCCTTAGGGTAACCCTGTTCACCGCGGTCCGTCCATAATATGACCTGTTTCCATTGAGGTTCTTTCTCCCCGGGAATAAATGTTTCCACTAAATTCTACTAAACTGTAATACTTCATTATTGTAAATTGTCCTTGATGATTACTCAACTATTTAATCACCAAGACTGTTCAACTGCCTCCCAGAATACATAAGGGGATTACCAATAGACCCCTGGCTGTCTTCAAGAACCTAAAGTCAATACCTGACCAGGCAGGCTGTGGTTCGTACGTCAGCTTGTGTGCGGCCGGTAGTAACAGCCTGGTTGATCAGACCCTGATCCACCATGAAGCCTGGTCTCAGACCGAGCCGCGGGGGCGTTGACCCCCGAAATCCTCTCCAGGTAAACTACTTCAGACTTAAAATTGCTTCAGCTTCGTTTAAAATTGTAATACTGTATTTTTTATACATTATATCAAAACTGTAATTCTTCTCTACCTAACTTGTTAAAGCCATATAGAGTGAACTAATAGAATATTCACTTTTCTTGTATTCATTGTAACTCACCTAATGACCATATTTACAATGACAACACTGTTGTCATTATAAATATGGTCTTAAGTTTGCCCGAAATGCTTTTGGCATGTTCACTCAGCTATTACACTCCTTTGTACCAACATCTATCATGCTAAAGTAAACATTATTATTATTATTATTATTATTATTATTATTATTATTATTATTACTGACTTGGGGATTATCCTATGTAATTTACATATATGTTACAATATATGATAATTGTACTTATGCCTACCTGTACCTAAATAAACTTATTTCCTTAATTATGATCTTTAGAAACAGCTCTCCCCAACCGGCACCGATTTTTTTTTATACCGTGGACCTTACTGGAATACGGATATCTTACTCTATCATGCCCCGAGCAATTGTGATAAATTTTCCCATTCTCTTTCCGGAATGCTTGTCCTCATTATATTGTGATAAAGGAAGTATTACCTACGGGCAACGGTAAACAATATGATGTTCGTTCAATGAGGACAAATTCCAACTACTCCGTTATGGAAAACTGGAGGAGATAATAACTAGAACAGAGTATACTACTGACTCCGGCCATACAATAGAGCGGAAAAATAATGTAAGGGACCTGGGAGTAGTAATGTCTGAGGATCTCACTTTCAAGGATCACAACAGTGCCACGATCGCACGTGCAAAGAAAATGATAGGATGGGTAATGAGAACTTTCAAAACGAGAGATGCCAAGCCCATGATGATCCTTTTCAAATCACTTGTTCTCTCTAGGCTGGAATACTGCTGTACATTAACATCTCCATTCAAAGCAGGTGAAATCGCAGATCTAGAGAGTGTACAGAGATCCTTTACTGCACGTAAAGTTCTGTCAAGCACCTTAACTACTGGAACGCTTGGAAGCACTTGACTTGTACTCGTTGGAACGCAGGAGGGAGAGATATATCATAATCTACACTTGGAAAATCTTGGAAGGAATGGTCCCAAATCTGCACACAGAAATTACTCCCTACGAAAGTAAAAGACTGGGCAGGCGATGCAAAATGCCCCCAATAAAAAGTAGGGGAGCCATTGGTACACTAAGGGAAAACACCATAAGTGTCCGGGGCCCGAGACTGTTCAACAGCCTCCCATCAAGCATTAGGGGAATTGCCAATAAACCCCTGGCTGCCTTCAAGAGAGAGCTGGACAGATACCTAAAGTCAGTGCCGGATCAGCCGGGCTGTGGCTCGTACGTTGGACTGCGTGCGGCCAGCAGTAACAGCCTAGTTGATCAGGCCCTGATCCATCGGGAGGCCTGGTCATGGACCGGGCCGCGGGGGCGTTGATCCCCGGAATAACCTCCAGGTAACCAGGTACGGTATTTCCTCATTATCATGTCCTCATCGTACTCTGTCCAGCGTCTGCTGAGCAATTGGTCCGGGTGCCATTCATCACCGTCTTTTTTACCTTTCTGTTAATTTCCGCGGCCTGGGGTAAGTCAGTAAGTTTATTCAGGTATACACAAATACAGTTACATAGATTATCATACATAGCAGCATATGTGTAGAAAACCTGGGATAACCCAAAAAAGTCAAAGTGACTTAAGCCGGTAGGAGATTTGGACTTGCCTCGCATGGGCCAGTAGGCTTGCTGCAGTGTTCCTTCTTTCTTATGTTCTTATTTCCATTGTTTCCGGTTGGTGACTCACTTCCCGTGTTTTCGTCTGGCTATGCCGGAATTAAAGATCTGAAGCCAGTCAAAAGAGCCAATTTAAAGTTGGTGTATGGAAACAAATATATCAAAAATTTCTTCAATAAATAATCACAAATTAGAACCCACACCAGTTAGAACCTTCCACTAAGAAACACTGCCTCTGAAAATTTAAAGCCAATCTGAATAGTAATTTCAAAATGCACCCGCACTTGTTTTTATACATAAAACCAGTATTTAAATTTTCCAGTTTTCTTCCCCTCGGGAAAGGTTTCTTGACGCTG